TCCTAGTTGCAATTATAAATGTTGTAAACCATTAGTCTACTCTGGAGATATGCTAAGCGATTAGGTTGTGATCGTTCACCTGAGGCCAGAGATGCTTATCGTACCGTATTCAAGCATAGGCCGGGGCTGAATATTCCTCTCACGAAGAGTGAATGTGTGGGAGACGGACAGATGTTTGAATGGATTCGGCCATCAGACTACATAAAGTTTATGGACGAGAATTCCAAACTTGAGCTGATTCTTGGAGCTCCTACTTTAGCGAAAGCTGCACCAGCCCTGGAGCTATTCTGGAAGCGCTACGAAGCTGTCAACCCTTCGCATCAAGTATTTCAGAAAGCCAGGGAAGGCCGATTGGCTTTGAACCAAACCCTTCCATTCTATTTCCATGCTGACGAAGGCCGGACCCTGAAGAAGAAGCCGGTTTTCATCATCCAATGGCAGCCGTGTTGCGGTAAAGGAGTCGGCCGAAAGAACAGCGAAGCCCTGATCAAGGCTCGGCTTGAGGAGCTTCGCTTACAACCGAATTTCAAGGGCCATACCTTCGTGACGAGGTTTTTGGCTGGCTTGCTGTTGGGCTCGAGCTATGCTGACAAGCCGCAAGTTCTCAGTGATCTTATTGAACACATTTGCTTGGATATGAGGGACCTTGGGGACAGTGGTATTCAGCTGTCTCAGGGGCATCTTTGGTTATGCCCGATTGGCAACAAGGGGGATTGGAGCTACCTAGTCCAAGTGGCAAACTTGACGCGAAGTTATCGAAATGCCCCAAAACGTGCCTCCTCGAAGGCACCCAACAAGTGCATCTGCCATCTGTGTATGGCCGGGGCACCAGCTTTCCCATATGAAGACATGTGCTTTGCTTGGAATCAATATACTCGCTAAGCATTTAGTATGGTTTTATAGACATTTAGTATACAGGATTAAAGTAGCTTCTTAAAGATCCATATATTACATGTAATGAAGAGCGACCAGGACTGAGAGTGCAAGATTTCTTCAAACGATGCCTGTGCTGACTATGCCGTGGACTACGGAAGCCGCGTTTACAAGACTGCTACTTCATGACCCAGGAAACAAGCCTGCATTTCACAAGGTGGACGTGTGGCACAATGTGCAATTGGGACAGGGGAAGGCCTTTTGTGCATCGGCTATGATATCTCTCCTCTCGTACTTCGACGGCTCGAATACTGAAACGAGGTTTTCCAGTATGTTTGCTGAGTTCAAGAATTTCTGCAAGGCTAGGCAGTTATAGCATCAATATCTTCTTACAGAACTGTACTCTTCGCTGATATATCGTATTAAACCACAGGAACTTGCCGTCCCATACCAGGCCATCGGCGAACAGACCTACCTGCAAAAGTTTTCGCCTGACACCGTGGGCTGCGCACAGTCCATGCTGGATGTGCCAGATGGTCACTGGCACAAAGGATCATGCACCACGAATATTATGCGGTTCATCGAGTACTGGTGCGAGCAGAACAAAGAGCTGGGGGTCGAAGACGAAAACTTTCAACTCATTGTGACTTGACCTCGACCAAAACATGTTGATTGGGTGTAAGTCATTTATTGATTAATTATTTACAATCGAGTTTCGACTACGTAAGGCAGCTGCGGCCAAGGCTATGAATGCAGCGCTGAGTGAAATGTATACGGGTGATATGTGGCTGTCACCGGTCGAAGCGACGAGGATCGGCAACCGAGGCTTTTACTTTCTCCGTGCATACGCCAAACTGGCATACAATTACAATCGCTTGGGCTTGACTCGCTTTCCACTGTATCCAAAAGCCCATATGTTGTACCATA